AGCGAATTCCTTTGTAAATGCATGATGAGGTGGAAAAGATTGAGGAAATGAAGCAACAAGGTAATTTAAAAAATCTCATAATCCTTGAATATCTCCTGCGATTATGGTGGAAAAGGAAAATGGAACATTGAAATTTTGCGTCGATAGAAAACTCAATGTCACCAAGAAAGATTCTTACCCGTTGCCCAGAATGATCTTCTTGATTGATTATCTGGGAATTCCTGGTTTTCTACACTTAATTTAAAAAGTGGATATTGGCAGGAAGCTGCATCCTCAGAATAAGGAGAAACCATTTTCATTAGATTATTTTCCATAGATTATGGCAATTCACTGTTATACCTTTTGGACTATGTAATGCTCCAGCAACTTTTGAGCGATTAATGGAGATTCTTCGTCAAGTATTAAATAAAATCTGTTTAGTCTATCTAGATGACGTTGTTATTTACAGCAAAACTTTTGAGGGAATGTTCGGTAATCTTCGGGAAGTCTTTCTTCATTTGAAATCAGCGAATTTGAAGATTAATAAAAAAAAAATGTTCTTTCTTTAGTAGAAAAGTAAAGTATTTAGGTATGAGGTTTCTCTCAGAGAAGGGATCTTACCAGATCTTGAGAAGATTGCTTGTGTACGAGATTGGCCTGTTCCTCGGAATAAGAAGCAGGTGCGTAGCTTCTTAGGATTTTGTTCGTATTACAGGAAATTTGTGAAAGGTTTTTCTTTGATTGCTAAGTTCTTGTTTTCTTTAACGGAAAATCAGTGTAGATCTATATGGAATGAATAGTGTCAGGAAGCATTTGAACAGTTAAAGCAATTTTTGGCTTCTCATATTTTATCCTTTCCGTCCGAAATAGTGAAGTTTATTTTTGATACTAATGCTTCTAATCACGATATTGGCGTTGTTTTATTTCAAATATAGAAAGATAAGGAAAAAGTCATTGCACATTATAACCGTGTCTTTAACAGAAAGGAACTGTGTGACACGTCGCGAATTATTAGTGATTGTGGATTCTTTGAGAAGTTTTCGTCATTATTTATATGGACAAGAGTTTTTACTTAGAACTGACCATATTTCTTTATGGTCGATGTCTTTTAAGGAATTGAAGGGACAGTTGACCCGTTGGTTGGAACGTCTTCAGCAATACAATTTTGAAATTTTACATCGTGCAGGAAAATCTCATGAAAACACATACATTGTCTAGAGATCTTTGTGTAGAGAATGTCTGCAATTATTACAGTAGAGTTGAAAAGAGGGAAGAGGAAATTAAAGAGAATTATGTAGACAAGATTGTTTTTGAAAAAAATTAAACCAAAAGATTGGAAAGCGTCAATTGGAGGATGTCATTAATATTCTTCATGGGAAGGAATTGAACAGACGTTCTCTCCAACAAGAAATTATTTCAAGAGATGTTTTTGCAAAAATTTATTGGTCCCAATGGGATTCTCTTGTTCTCCGAGATGGAGTTCTTGAAAAAATGGTTCAGCAAATTTTGAAGAAGGCGCATGATTCTCCAACTGGTGGACATTTTGGTATCAATAAAACTTTTCAAAAATTCGAAAGCGGTTCTTCTGGGCGATCTATAAGCAGGATGTGGAACATTGGTGTAGAATTTGTAAAGTTTGTATCGCTAGAAAGGGTCCTTCGGAAAAGGGGAAATCTTCCCTTCAAATTTATAATGTAGGTGCTTTTTTTGAAAGAGTGCAAATAGATATTCTTGGTCCTTTGCCGATTTCTGCTTCTGGAAACAAGTATTTGTTAGTTGTAACAGATTGCTTCATTAAGTGGGTAGAGGCTTTTCCTCTTAAAAACATTTAAAGCAAATACGATTACTGAAACCTTTGTAAGTCAGGTTATTTCTAGACATGATGTGCCATTAGAATTACATACCGATCAAGGAAGAAATTTTGAGTCACGGTTATTTCAAGAATTATCTCAATTATTAGGAATGAGGAAAACTCGAACTACCTCTTTTCATCCTCAATCGAATGGTCAAATAGAACGTCAACATCAAACGTTATTGAATTATTTAACAAAGTTTATTTAAAAAAATCAGAGAGATTGGGATTGTTGGGTTCCATTGGGCTTATTAGCTTATAGATCTTCCAAACACGAAGTTATTAGTTTTACTCAGAGTTTTGTTTAGGGCAAGAATTAAGATTGCTCTTAGATCTTCTTCGGTGTTGTCCTCCAGAGTCTGAAGACATTGCACAGGAAAGAGGATTCTCATTTAAATTAAAGGAAAAGATGAATCATATCCACAACATTGCGAGTCGACGCATGGATTTGAAATCTCAGAGGACGAAGTTTTATTATGATCAAAAGAATAAACGATTGTGTTTTGATGCCGGTCAGAAGGTTTGGCTTTTTACTCTTCGAAGAATACAAGGTAGAGCCCCTAAGTTGCAAAGTAATTGGGAAGGTCTATATGTGGTAGTTAAAAAATTAAATGATGTAGTTTATTATATTCAGAAATCGAATAAACATAGGAATAAGGTACATTTGGAATAAACATAGGAATAATGTACATTTGGA